TTTGAAGGGCCTTCATCATTTTCATGATTTGAGTTTAAAACTTTAGAGCTTCTTGCATTCTTCCTCTCTTTCTCTGTATTCCTCCATTTCCCCCTCCACCCTCCTCCTCTCATATTCAGTTTTATAGTTTTCAGACATAAACATGAAAAAAGCAATTTTGACTTAGATTCTGAGTGTTTCTGCAAAGAAAAGTAACAAACATCTGTTTTTACCTTAACTATATCCATGTGTTCAACCCCCACCCGCTTCCCAAAATAATTTACAGCCATACTTGGTGGGTACTGCATACTATTAAATTAACTTTTTTCACAGTTAGATTAGAGAATGTGTCCAGAGACTGGAAATATTGGTGTTAAACAGTAGCCAAAAACTACATTTTAACCAAGCTAAATCATCATTTGTTTTTCTCTTCTCTCTTCCTCTCTCTTAATTTTGCCAAAGAAAGAGGTGGGGGAGAAAAGAAAAGACTGGGAATATATAGCAAATGGTTACCATTATAAACAAATGGAATCCGCTGACTGGTGAAATTTTGCTCATAATACTTGTGTTTATAAATTAATTTATAGGTTTTCTAATTAATGTGAAAAATCCTTTGTGATATAAATAAGTGGTTTGAGAGACATATCATGTGGATTGTTGTAAAGGATTTGTATCACTTGTTTCACTTTATTACTACGTTACAGCATCTGGAACAATTATGACCATACCTAAGTTATTTGTTATAGAAGATTAACAGGAAGAAGGCTATTTTACTAAGATATTTGAGAAGCAGTGAAACAGAATGTTGGACAATGCTATCTTTTACTTTGTTGTATGCAACATGTCTTCAGAGATAAAAAATGTGTGGTACTAACAGATATTTTTCAAACAAAGGTTGTTCCTTTCCAGTTACATGACGCCTTGGAGAAAGTTTCACCATGTTAGATACACAGATTTCATCTTACTTAATGAATAAATTATGGGAGCTTGATAACTAATATCTCACAACGAAAGCTTTATCCTAAAGTATTCTAAAACTATTACTGTGAAAATATTTTAAATTATCGGTCATCATTTCCTTAAATTCTATTTACAATAGTTAATATCCATAATTGTCCACGTTACTGTATGCCATGGAGAGATTTAGCAAGAACACCTATCATCCCACTGTCAATGGAGAAGAGGAAGTCATCCATCAGCATGACTAAAGCCATTATCAAAATTGCCCAGGAAAGTGAGGTTATATGCTGAGCTGTAATTTGCTAGATCCAGAAGATCAGGTGATGACTTCTTCACTACTGGCTAAACAGTTGCATGCTCTTAGATGAGTAGTAAGTGTTCCACTTCAAAAGAGACATTAATTATTTGTCAATAGAGGCTACATGTGATCCTGGCTGATCTTCCCTTACCATGGGGAGCAGAAGTCTGAGTTGCAACTCATGGCTAAAATGCCCTGTACTACTTCATGTGTCTCTTTTGCTATGTGAATGGGAAAAGTAAAGACTGATTCCAGTCCTGACATCATACATTTCCTATTGTTTGGGAAGGTCATCCTGGATTCAGTTGATCTATGCTATGCAATAGCTTACAGTTCTTCAGACCATGTGATGCTGGCTTCTGGAATGATTTTTGGAGGTAACTATGGATTATGAAGTGACTCACTGTGCTGAAGAGCTCTCCTAGTTGTAGTTAAAAGGCTGCAGGTGTTTGAAAATAAAACATTTCTTTGCCTTCCCTCACAGTTGTGGAAAAGGAATGCAAGCATTTCTTGTGCTGGAGTCTGTCTGCTACTGCCTTCAGTTTACACATCAGTGCCCACATTTTCTTTCCTCCTTTTTCACTTGTCACAGATCTTCAGAGAACATAGAAATAGGAGAAAAGAGGTCATTTGTGGTGTCAGTGTGTCTATGGCTGCTGTACTGTGTGTATGGTTATAGTATTTCAACAGATCTTGTTCTGCTTGGCTATTTGGTAGGGCATGACTTTAATATTAATGGCTCCATAAACTAACTCACAGGGCTGTTGCACTTTTTGGGTATTTGGAATTTTGTCTTTGGTTGGAGGAGGAAATGTGCCTGACTCAGGATAGGGGAGCTATTTTTTTGTGAACTCCTAATCCATAGATCAGGTCTAGTGTGTGCCAGGTTGTATGAATAGTCCAGAAATTGCCTGGAGTTTGATAGGAGATTTTGGGCCATAGCCTCAGGGAAGTGTTTGTGTGGGGCTGCATGTAGTTTGAGGTCTTCCAGGGCAATGATCCTTGGCAAGGTCACCATCCTAATGATCAGCATCTCTGTCCATTCCAACAGGAAACCTTTTGTTTGGAGGTCTGTAGATTAGAAGGATGTAAGTCTGACTTTTGTTTGTTGACATGCAGGTTGAGTGGATATATTCAAATAATGTTTGCGGCTCCTGGAGATCCTCTTCTGCATTTTAAGGCTGGATGGGAAGAGGATGGCTGCCCTGCCAGTGCTCTTTTGTATTATGGGAGTGTGATATCTTAAGTATCCTGAGAGGATTGTGTGGGTCAACAGTGGATATACAGTGTTGTCTAACAGAGTTCCTGTGTTGCTGAGTGAAGGTGGGAGTCTTAACTGCTATGTGGTCTTGACTGGAGAATAGGTGCTTGACCACTGATCTTTCATTGATCAGCACATTTTAAAGGTGTGAATTAGTGCAGTTTTGTTCAGTGTGGTCTTGTGTGTGGTGGCTGTAGGTGGAGTGTTCTGCATTTGTAGTAGATATTTTCTTTTCTTTTCTTTTCTTTTCTTTTCTTTTCTTTTCTTTTCTTTTCTTTTCTTTTCTTTTCTTAGTTTCTGTTTCCAGTACTTTGTAGCGGGGTTTTGTGAGTCCTGATGCTGTGCAGGGAGGGTGGTATGTAGTGGCGCCATCCTATAATGGGGATAGCTGTTAAAAGAAGCACCTAGAACATTGGGTGTGACAACACTCTTTAATCCTTCCTCTGGGCATTGCATGTTGATTGTGATGTGGGAAAGGGCGGAACTTGTGTAGGTCTGTTATGAAACAATGTAACAGGAAAGTGACAGGCCAGAAGCATCTTATCCATTAGGAAGCCTGCACTGTAACTAGTGCTCACTTCTGGCTAAAAGTCAGAGTACAAAGTTTTGGCTCAAGAACAAATTACTTGTTTTGCATTATATCTGAGAGCCTTATCTTTTATAAGGAGTTCATTATTCATATAGGTTCTACAGCTTTGTCCTACATAGTTTCATAGGCAAATAATAAACTGCAGCCAAGGATTGCTTAGCACTGCTCCTACCACTTCCTTTCTGGTTCACCTAATAGAGCTGCTATCCATAAAGGTCCAACTTTTCATTGCAGTTGTGAGTACATTCGAACATAGCACGTCCAACCACTAGAGAGTAGGGACTCTAACTGGCTTAGTATGTTGCAGTGTTTGATCACCAGTTGGCAGATATGTCAGTTTGGTTTTGGACTGCGATTATGTTGTGGCTTGATAGTGCCCGTTGGGTCTCGGCATGGGAGTGTGTGTGTGTGTGTGTGTGTGTGTGTGTGTGTGTGTGTTTAAAAAGTTGGGGTTTTAAGATATTGAGCTTTAATACGCTTAGGATCTGATTCTGAGACACTTACTCCTTGGGCAGTCCCGATGAAATCATTGCAGCGGGAGCACTCAACGAGTAAGAGTATCAGAATCTGTCCCCATCATATTCGCAACATTTATTTTAGCTTATTCAAATACATCAAAAAAAATGTATCTTATCAGTAAGGTCAAATGTTTTGGAATGGAACATTTCTTATCTATAAGGATGACTGTCTAATTAAACCTCAAATCTTCAGCGAGAACTTCAGATAGCGTTTATTTTTTGCTTTTGTTATTTCTACACTGAGCAATGTCATCTCTCTGAATAGTAATTTATTCTTATCTGAAATGAATGAGCTAGTGAAAATTCACTGTAGGTGTTATCACACCACAGAAATATTAACCAGTGGTTAAAAATACAAAGTGCCAGGTAAGTCATAGAAGCATTAAGGACCTTTTCTGTGGAAGTCAGTCAGGGTTCTTTATGTGAAGCAACTAGAAAATAGAGGCCTTGAAGTGGATAAACATAATGGCCTAAACATTCAAAGGTGACTATTGTTATGGGTGCTTCGATTTTGGGGCACTCTGTTTGGATCACTGTAAGGGGCCTGATGTTTCAGAGGATGGGTGCGTCAGAAAATCAGGCTTTAAGGTTTTTCAAAATCTCTTAATCTCTTTTAGACCAATAGTGCAAACACAGAAAATCTAGATGGACAGACATAGGCAGGCGGTAAAGGGTTCTTGCATCTCAAAATGTTAACTTAAAAGAATAGCAAAGTATAAGGTTGCATTTCCTTTGACTGTTTCAAGTGATTAGGTATCTAGAGAGAGATTCTGGCAATTTAAATAAAATATTTCTTGATGAATGTATATGATAGAACTTATTTAAAGTTTGTGCTGTTTTTTTGTCTTCCAGTTCTATCTCCTCTACATTCTTATTGGTTGTTAGTAGTATAATGCACCCTACAATTAATTTGTCTTCCTTTTTTATAAAAATATATTGAAAAAATACATGCTATGTTACCCTTTTTTGTTGTCTTAATTATTGACATGAAACTGGATGCTTGAAGTTAAACAAAAAGTTGGAGGCTTTCTTAGTACCTGTAAAAGATTTGCTTTTGTTCCTGAAGTATGACGTAAGAAGGATAAGCCAGTGTTAGAAAGGAGAAATGGAGCCAATAAGGAGGGTTACTGATTATAATAGCCAGTTTCTGTTTAATATCACTGAGCAGGATGAGGTTTTGCAGCATTTCTCATGGAAATAGCATCCACAGTACTAAAATGATTACCTCATTCTCAGTACCAGTGCCAAGCACTTAGCCCCACAGTGAACACACGGGGTTGATTTTCAACATGAAACAAGCCAGAAGTGTGGAATGACATTTTCAGGTGACAGTTATGGTTCTATTGCCTGTAATTAGCACCTCTTAACATGCAAACCTGCCTGTGCCTTTTCCAGGCTGTTGAAGCTCAAATACGAAGTTTTGGACAGACCCCTTCCCAACTACTCATAGAGCCACATCCTCCAAGAAGTTCTGCCATGCAGGTGGTATGTATCATATTAACTCTTTGTGACCCATTCACTTTTATTTATTTCTGCACTGTTGCTTTAAATGTTCAGATTTTTTTCTTTTGGGGTGTGTGTGGGTGGGGAAGGGGGGAATTTAAGATTCTGTGCATTTGATTATAAGCACAACTCTCAGTCATTGCTATTGTACGCAATACTTGACTATTAATTCACTGATTGCTAAGAAGGTTATGCCAATTCACAGTACAGAAACTTATCATCAGTGTTACCTAAAAACACTTTGTCAGTGTAATTTGCTAAGGTCTTAGAACTCGTAGATCCAAATGTTTCAGCATTTCAAGCCCAATCCTGTGAGATTATACTGAGGTGCCGAGCATCCACAACTCCCTTTGAATATCAGTGGAGATGAGGGGTCTCAGAACCTCTCAGATTGCATTCAGCACCTTATAGGATCTGGCTCTTAGTGTCTGGGGCCCCTATGCTTCTCTTCTTTTCTCTGAATGGAAGGGAGCTTGTACCAGCGGAGTCAGGTTAAATGTTATGGGGACGACAAGAGCCCCCAGAAGTTGAACCCTGTGTAGAAGATTTAGGGATGGGGAGCGGGAAGGACTGGAAGCCATTATGCTCTATCATGTAGACCAACTCCTGAGGTGGATGCCAGGTGCTGGTACTTGAGGAAGGGGGTACCTGGAAATATATATCTCCTTGGGTATCTGTGCTGGTGGGAGCCAGTTAGACTGGAAACAAGGGAATATACCCAGCCTTAGAAAGATTCCCTAAGAGCTCTGGATTTAGGAGGTGGAGTCCCTAATCTTTCCCCTTAAAAACTAGTAATTCTTGAGCTGAAACTTGCATAGTGAAGAATTTGTTTTAATGTGTTTTGCAGTAACACTAGGATGATAACATCCAGGCACTGAGTATTAACATGCTTTCTATTTTACCTCTACTTATTTGTAAATATAATTTTATTAATACAATTATTTTTTATTACTTTCCATTTTATGCCACATGCAGCCCCAGGGTCTAAAATAACTTCATCTGTATCATCATAGAATTCAGAACTAAGTGTGTTAAATTATATTGTGACAGAATGAACCAAACATTCTATTAATTCATGAGTCTCAATATGTTACATTCCCTTAATGGTCAAAGATGGTCGATGGTTTTTAAAAATAAGTGTAAACAAGGAAATTCTATCTTTTAGGGTCTGTGAAACTTATGTTATTAGGGTTAAAAATGTTCCTGAACAGAAAGAGTTTTTAGATGAAATACACAAAACCCCCTAAAATTTATATATCATTACTTACACACCATGTACAAAAGGAGCCTAACAGACCTAAAACTTCTTATTCATGAACTACCAGCCTGTGTCTATTGACTTCCTTGTCCCTGACTCACAGGTTTAGCTGAATAAATTTGATGTGGTACCAAGCAGTTTGTGTAATAAGGACTGTACAGTTTCATCAGAGTATAGTATGTGATGTCCCTAGTAAATATTGGGCATTTAATGAAAGGAGTTACATTTCATGAAGTTAATTATATCTAACTTCTGTAGCTTTACATATAGAAACTAAGTTGTGGTTCACATTCTTACTTTACCATCTCCTTTGGTTATTAACATATAATTTTACAAACTGTTATTCTAATAATTTAAGAAACAGTGTAAGGCTTCCATGAGGGGAAAAAATTGGGATTACAGTGTATTATATGTGGAGGAGGGGCTTTTTTCCATCACACATAAGAATGCTTTATCATTGTAATCACTGTACTATTCACTAAAGTTTCAGTGTTTTTTTTTCTGTGTGTGAATACAGCAGAAATTAAAGCCACCATGTGCTGTTAAGTGCACAAGCCATAATATACACCAGGTGTAGTAATTAGCAGTCACACGAAGGCTGCCTATATGTCTGGTTTTGCTGCTGTTGCTGTATCCCCCTGTGTTTTCACACCATCAGATAGCTGGATTTAATTGAGGCCACATCAGATGAGGCATTACTGACACCTTTAATTGAATGAGCATCCAGGGAGGATTAACTCATAATATTGATTGGCTTTTAGCCACTTGTTCAGAAGGGTGTCTGGGTAGCTTATTAGTTGCTTTTATTTACACCTTTATGCAAAGACTAAATAGGAATTCAGAGTGCAATATGTTTTTCAAAGTACTCTTAATAACTTTTTTAAAAGGCGTGATAATAAAAATGCAAATATATTTAATTTCTTGTATTAGTTCTGTATAAATATATATTAAATGTATGCACTTACATACACATTTATATATGCATATATGTACTGGAACATTGCAGGTAGAAAACAGCCAAGTGTACTGATCAGTATATTTTTATAAAGATATTAATTTAGTTATTGGGAAGAAATACTAAAGGAATATGGATAAGATTGGACAGTACAATAATAACTCTGTCATCATAGCTTTTACTTATTTTGGTGCACCATATATTAATGAAAACAAACTTGTTAAGTTCTGTTATTTTCTCAGCTCGATAACTGTTTAACATGCAAATCACATGGATTTACCAAATTTATGAAAATCAATATTTGATTTTAACATTTTCAGTGATCTTGGGGGTCTTAGTTATAAACTTTCTAATTAATTACATTGAAAACAAAACTATTATATTTGGACTAGGAAGAATCTAGATGTATTTCCTCTCTTTGGCTTTTGTAGGAAGCAAAGGTATTTGCAACATAATAGGGTGATGTCTGTGTAATTCTGTCCACTTTATAAGTGTTTCCTTTATAATTATGTTTAATTATGTTTTGCTTAAAAACACAGTTATATTGTCTGTGTATTGCTTAAGTCTTATTTCTGTACAACATAAATACACACATTGCATGCATTTACTGTATGCACATATATTTTATTTATGTTTGTCTTTTTTTTTTTTCATTTGGCTTGTCAAAATCTTAGTCTGCCAACTAAATGGAGTCTCTGATGGTCTCTGGGAGCAGGAATTGCTCACTTTCTTGGTTATGGCCTTCTCTGAAATTGCTTTCCTTGATGTGCTACCTTTGTTGATATGGAAGATAATGCATTTGCCAGAGACAGGCAATTGGAAACTTTTTAATGGAACCTGCAGCAAACATTGACTTTAGATCTTTTCCTTTTCTGCAGTGCTGCTACCTTAATAGCATACATGAAGGATGTCCACTCAAAATAGTTGTTTCCACTAGCCTGTTTACTGCTACTTCATTTACTTTTACTTGCAGCTGCTATTGGTTCTTGCTTATTTTAATTCAGTCTTACTTCTCTTGTTCTGTCCTGTCTTTCTTTCCCCCTCCCTATCTTTTCTTTTCCCATGTGTTTGGGTTCTTGTTTGCCCACTCAACAGTATCTCCTCCTGCAGAGTCCATTGATGTTCACAGACCAAGCTCAACAGGATGTTATCATGGTCCTAAAGTTCCCATCCAACTCCCCTGTCACTCATGTAGCAGCCAACACCCAGTCTGGTCTGGCAACTCCTGCTGTGATCACAGTCACTGCTAACAGGCTATTTGCTGTGAACAAGTGGCATAACCTTCCTGGTAAGTAAAGAAATTTTAGCATTAGAAACTTCCACCACCACCAAGTGGTATTTTTCAGTTGACTTTGTTTCAAAATCGGCAGTAGAAATATTTTAAATTTCTGTTTGCAAATGCGAATCCAGTCCATTGGTACATTGTACTCATTGCAGTTAGACAAAGATGACCTTTCTAAAGTACAGCTGAACACTACAATTCAAGTTCTGCTAAGCAGCAAGTTATTCAGGAGAAAGAGTTATTTACCAAAGCCATTGGGCAATATCCAAGAAAACATAAGCAACAGGTCACCACTTTATTATCATCATAAACATTTGCAAGCATCCAGTAGGCTAAATATATTCCTAACAGTTACTCAGCACAAAGGACCTGTAAAGCACAAGGCAGTGCTGTCCAGTACCTAAGGAACATGGCTTCCAGCTTTCATTTGTTCCTGATGAGATTTTTGTCCATCTTGGACCTCCTTTTCAGCCCATATTATGGACGAATTATGGAAGTAGGAACCTCTCTAATGTCTGGGAGGTATTGCTGCCACAGAAGCATTCACAACTTCCTGAGCTGGTTATGAAGACCACAACCAGAAATCAAAACTGAAAATATTTAGAATGCCCACATCCCCTGCAACTTGGGCACCCAAAAAATCCAAAACTCTAGACACTTGAAAGTCTTTGTCAATTAAAAAAAGAAACAACATATCCATAAACATAACCACTCATCTTAATGATCCTTTTTGTAGTTTGTTGGACATTAATATATAGCTAGTTTTGTTTTGAATTCCTGTATTTTTTAATCCTTGAGGGGGACCCATCCTCTAGTCCATAATTACAGCAGCCTCAAGCCAGAGCCACAAAAAGCAATTCATTTCTCCTGGCACCGCAGTAAATTATTAGCTGGTCAGAGGGTTTCTATGAAGAAAAATATAGCTTCTTCCCAAATAGTTTAAATAGAGTACAATCTTTTAATGTTTGGACCAGGCTAATGTCTACATCACTGATTTTCTGCAAGGAAATTTGGACCCACATCCCTTTGATTACATTTTGAAAAAAGCCAGATGACCCCAATGCTCTTTTCCAGCTGTTATAAATCACTGACCAACAATGTCCAAGTGGAAAACTCTTGACCTTATTCCAGCACCATTTCACACACCTAAGAAGCTCTAAAAAAACCCTAAAACCAAATATGTTGTCTATATAGCTGACAAAGACGTGACTGAAAACTGTGGATAATACTCACAGCATTTGGCTGGAAAGAATATGACAACCGCCTCCCATACTACTATATGACCTTAAACATACTTTCAATAGTCAATGGATTAAAAATCTCTACAAGAATGCATAAAATTCAACAGTCATGTACAGGAAAAAATATCTGGTGGATGTTCTAAAATTATAGGCGTTGCTTTGGCTTCTCCATAAGCATACTAGTTGGTGATCTATTTACCAGCAACAAATGCCTGCAGACAGCTACCTCCATATTCTGTTCTCTAGAAACGGCAGCACAGTAAGACAGGTTTCTGAGCCACTGTCATTGTATACACCGTCGGGCACTTCAAAAGTGTTCTCTCTGTGCAGAGAGCCGGAGAAAAAATCTACACTTCAAAAACTCATTTGAGAGCTAGTACACTGACCACTACTGCCAGGTTATTGTGAAATGCCACATTTGAGGGAGCTGGATATGTCTTCCTGGAATGGGAAGGAGCTGAAGTTAGCCTTGGCGGTCGTAACCTTCAAAAAATTGGGCTTTGCATAGGTGTAGGAGGCCAGTACTACAACTATTCCGTATCTCCCACTGTGATCATAGCACTGTCCACAGGGAATACTTGCACTATGAGTCGTCATGACAAACCATGTTTAGTTTGCAAGTAATCGCTTGTCATTGACTACTATTTAAGATCCCACACCTGCCTCACTCAACCAATCTGGTGGCTTTATCAACCAGTTTATGACATCAGTGTCCAACAAAGCACATCTATACAGGGCTGGAACTGGCACTGTTTCATAAAATATTAATGTTTCATTGCAGCACTGCTGTTGAGTTTCATTTAAACTATGAAATCAATCTGATGATATTAAGTTTTATAATAAAACTATGCTTTGCAAGGTAATTGGAGAAATGAGAGATGTTACACCTATGATTTATCTATTATATTAGCTTCCTCTTCCAAGAGGGTTTTGGGGTTTTTAACTGAGCTGTGGAAAACTAATGTTGAAGTAAAATCCAGTAGGTAAATATTCCAGAGACGTGCCAGGTGCTTGGACATTTAGACAAAATGTTGGTCTGCAGAATTATTTATTTAGTTTTATTAAAACTTGCAAATAAATGTTTTTCAATGATAGATGAAACATTAAATATTATGTCACTTGGAGATTTCTGTCTCCATCACAAACTGAAATTTTCTGAAAGGTCCGTTATGCTTTGCTGTTCAAAGCAACCCTTTGAAAAAGGGGGAAAATAGTATTTGCTACAGTCAGCAGATGGTTGTCACATTTTGTTTTCAGTGCTCTTTACCACTTAATTTTGTTTTGTTGTGACATGAGAGGTTGCCAGTAAAGCATCTGCTATCGCTTATGGCTCGGGATCTGAGCCATTGATGAAGGCACATATTCAGGATAGCACTAATCTAAAATAAATGTTTAATAAGCAGCCCATGAAAGCGCCTGGAATTTTTTTTATTCAATCAAGAAGGAAACTTGAATGGTTAAACAGTTGCATATAGGATTTGATTTATCATTTTTATGTGGCTCAACATATGAAAATAATGCTGACTTTTAAAATCTTCTTTCCTGAATTTCAGCTCATCAAGGTGCTGTACAGGACCAGCCATACCAGCTGCCAGTGGAAATCGATCCTCTCATAGGTCTGTCACTTTCTTCTCTCTTTGCGATTCATTAAGCTCTGTATGGTGGCCCTGAAGTGTAGATTACGGTTGTTTTTCACTTGCTGGTTGCTGGGAATGGAATTTTCCTGATAAACCATTTGCATGCAAATTGGAATGCAATGAGCTGTGGCTATGCTGGTATTTCATCAACTCCCCCTCGTTGGTTTGCCTAATTTGAACAGGCCTAGGACGCGTGTCAGTGAAAATTAATATGGATGCTGTAATAATGTGTGATTGAGAATGTGCATGAAGTACTGTCAGGATAATATTGGATCTTTTCATCACTCAGACTTGTTGATGAGCAGGAGCGAGGCACGTTATGATGAATTGGTGCACTGGTAATGTGATGGAGCTCCTTTGCCGAGGAAATTTTCATAATACCAGTGGGGTTCTTAACAGCACTGTGTTGTAAAAAATAAAACTGTGGTGCCAGGGTTTCATCGTTAAAGGAGATCAATCCTTTCTTCATAGACCTGCTGTTCACGCTGAGGGGATTAATGCGTAATTGCAAAGCGGTTCCAAAGTTGAAATCTATTGCTCCGCCAGTTTTAGTGTTAAGATATTAGTATTCATTTTTCTAGGGCACTACAGTCTTTTGGATCACCATCAGTGGTTAAGTGTGTGTGTCTGTGTTTTTAAGGGGAGAGAAAAGAGTCTCACTTTCATTTAAATGAATCTTTATAATAAATGATTAGTTTATTATAGTCGTGCTTTTCATATTAGCATAGTTGGTTCAGTTGTTCATACTATAAACCCTTATTTTTGGGTGGGAGGATTACAATTTGGCTCTAATTCAGCACGATTTGTAACTTGGCACATGATCACATGATGATTCTGCCTTGGAGGCACTTTAAAAACAAAACAAATTTGAAAAGAAATATTCCCTCATTTTTAATTTGAGAGGCTAATAAATAAATATTTTTTTTTTTAAGCCTCATAATTTCTCTGTTTTTTAAACTGACAATTTCAGGCTGATAGTTTATTGAATGAAAACATGAACTGACCAATAATAATTGCATTTAAAAACCAAGACTGTTTACTTATTTTTAAATTATTTTTTTGCCTGACTCTCCGCTATCACGTGCATGGTAGCGTGGTATGATTCGTCTATCAAATAGTTAACTACTTTTAAAAATTAATATGCACAGGAAATGATTCACAGGAAGTGCACATTGACCATTCCCTAATTTTTATTTATAAATTTATAATTTTTTATTTATTAATTTATAAATGCCGTTGTTTCTCAAAGTAGTATAGTGCTCTCCATAGAGCATTTCTAGAAGTTGTTTCTTAATGGACCCAGCTGAGATCAAGGCCCCATTGTGTTAGGTACTGTACAAACAAACAATAAGCAACAGTCCCTGCTCTCAGTTGCTTACAATAAGAGCATACAAGACCTCAAAGGTTAGGAAGTGTTATCATCATTTTACAAATGGGGAGCCAAGGCACAAAGAGATTAAAGGCCTGATCCAAATCCTTGTGAAGTCAATGGGAGCCTTTAAATGACTTGCTGTAGTCTGTGGCAGAAATGAACCCAGATCTCCTGAATCTGTTTAGTGCCTAAACTACAAGACCATGCTTTATCTCTTCTCAAACGGATCTTCTACAAATCCTCAGATGTGTGAATTTGTAGTGTCCTATACTCAAATGTATAATCTCTTATACCTCACTTTTGGCAGGACTTGTAGTAGTGGCTTATAATTTATAACTTTAATCACTTGGCTGAAATTTTCTGTCCCGGGTGTCTGTCTAAAGTTGAATTATTTTAGATGACTTCAGCCTAAACAGTTCAGCAGTTTCCAATGAGGAGGCTAGTGAAAAATATATTGTTTTGCCCAGGTTAAAAAATTCTGATGAGCTTTTCACTGAAAAGCTCTATTACCCCAATGCTTTGGACCAGGAGCTTGAAATTTGGCAAGGGGATGGCCTTTTGCCATCCATGTGCCATTTGCTGTCCACATGAATATCTGCCCAAATTTGGCCAAGTTAAATGCCTTTGAAAAATCACAGATTGTACATGCTCCTTAGAGACTTCTTAGATTTTAGCAGCTAAATCCTCCCGTCCCAAAATCTGTCTGCAGTGAGCATGCTCCAGCACTAGGATTTTCCCTGCATTCGCAGCTTTGGGCTGCTGCAGGCCAAGCCGAAGTTAGATCCAGGCACCTGAACTGAGAACAGGGAGCCTGTCTTTCTTGTGCTTTCAGTAGCTCCCCTGCTGGGTCCAGGCAACATGAAGGAGGAAGCTGCCAATTCAAATGCAGAGGGAGCAAGAGCCAGACTTGCAGGCGGATGCAGGAGAGGGAGTAGATTGGGATGTGGCATCGGGGGGAGCACTGAGTTTGGACAAAGATCCCATGGAGAGAAACTGGGACTGGGGTCCTGTGTGGATGGGAACGTAGATGAGAGAAAGGGCAGTTGGAGATCAGGGTGGGGAAGAGACACAGGCAGGATGAGAAGCTGGGACAGGGAGAACTGGGACAGCCTGGGCAAGATGGCTGGGGTTAAGGAGTGTGAGTTTAGGGGAGATTGGGACAGGGAGTCCAGAGAAGTGAGATTTGGACATGCTGGGCAAGGAGACTGAAACTGGGATGAGAGCCTCGGGAGTAGAGACTGGGGTTAGTAGGAGAGGAGAATGAGCCTGGGATAAGGAGCCAGGAGTCAGGAAGAGGCAGGACTGTGTGCCCTGGAATGGAACTCAAGTTCCTGAGTCTCACCATTCCTCTGCTGTCAGCAGGTATCTATGAAACCCACTGGCAAAATATGTCTCCTCCCCTTCTAGTGCTGGTCCACATAAAGGATGATAACCTATAGTTGCTTTCAGTTACTCAGTTAGCTTAAGTGGCAGAAATCTATGTGGTGGATCTAAGGGTTCCAACCCTGCTGATGACCCATGTGGGTGTCAATATGATGCCACAAGATGGAATTTCTGTTTATTCAGTTTGCTTTTTTAAAAACCTAGGAAAATACACACAAACTACATCACAATAACATTATTAAGGTTGCAAAGTCAAACACTCAAAGATTAGAAAATGCCAGAATTCAGGTAACCTGGGCAGCCCTTGTGCATGAGCATTATGATATATGCCTTGAAGGATGTTCTGATGACTAATTAGTTAATATTTGTATAGTGCTCAAAATGTAAAGTTCTATACTAATGCTAGTGATTACTGCCAATATTTATTTATTTATTTTCATTTTAATTGTTGTGTGGAGGTGCAACCGGTGCTTGGGTAGATACAATCAATCAATTTATATGATTTTGAAATCATAGTGTTGGCTTCTACATGGGAGCCACTGTGTAACATTGTGCCACATGTACTGTATTACTATGGCACTACTTTTTTTCTCTGTTAGGCAGACATTTTTGATTAGCCATTATATTTTTCTGTATTCGTACTTCTGTAACTATTTGCTTTTATATTTCCCAGTTGCATTTTACTTAAAGAAGGGTTTACTTGTATCTTTGATACGTATTACAAGAAATTGCTATTATTGTAATACCTCAAAGTATATTGGGCATTGTACAGTACATCTAGAAAGACATGTTTTCTGCCACAAAGGTCATGGTGGATAATCAGCGAGGCATGCGCTTCCAATGTGACATTGTGGCCAAAAGAGCTAATGTGATCCTGGGATGCATAAATTTGGGAATCTTGAGTAGGAAAAGAGAGGCTATTTTACCTCTATATTTGGCACTGGTGAGACTGCTGCTGGAATGCTGTGTACAGTTCTGGTGCCCACAATTCAAGAAGGATGTTGATAAATTGGAGATGGTTCAGAGAAGAGCCACAAGAGTGATTAAAGGATTAGAAAACATGCCTTATAGTGATAGTCTTAAAGATCTCAGTCTGTTTAGCTTAACAAAGAGAATGTTATGGGGTGACTTAATTACTGTCTATAAGTATCTACGTAGGCAACAAATATTTAATAATGGGCTCTTCAGTCTAGCAAAGAAAGATATGATCCAATGACTGTAAACTGAAGCTAAACAAATGCAGATTGGAAATAAGGTATGCATTTATAACAGTGAGAGTAGTTAACCATTGGAACAATTTGTCAGAGGTCATGGTGGATTCTCCATCATTGACAATTTTTAAATCAAGATTGAGTGGTTTTTCTAAAGAAGTGCTCTAGGAATTATTTTGTGGGGCAGTTCTGTGGCCAATATTATACAGGAAGTTGGACTAGATGATTACCTTGGTGCCTTCTGACCTTGTACAATTAGATATCAAACAAGATGCAAGGAGTATGGGTAACAAAAGGAGATGGAGTGAGGTCGGGGAGGGGCAACAGTAAAATTAGTTTAGATACATGCATATCAATTTGCAAAGGTGTTAGAATTCAACAAACATAGATGCTAACAATGATGCTCCATGTCTCTTCTTGCACATTCTTCTCTTTAGCCAGCAATACAAGTATGCACAGGAGACAAATCACTGACCTGTTAGACCAAAGCATTCAGGTCCATTCCCAGTGTTTTGTCATCACCTCTGACAATCGTTATATCCTGGTTTGTGGCTTTTGGGACAAGAGTTTCCGGGTCTATTCTACTGATACAGGTTAGTGGAATCTTAACTAATGGAAAAACCTAGAAAGTACGCATGTGTTTGAGGTGGGGAGCATGGTACTGTTATCCATTCACTACTACCCTGAAACATATTTGGGGGGATGAGAATATATTTCTTCTTCAAAGAATGGCAGGAATTGTTATTAAATTCCTCCCACACCATTCTGCATAGAATGCAATCAGGAGCAGAAGTAGCTGACTATTGTTTTGTGCATATTCATTTGTTTCTGAACACCTACGGGACACACTGAGTTTAATTCTACAGGTTCACAAGAAAACCAAACTACTGAGTTTGTTTAAAGCTTTGCATATTAGGGGAATTAATTGTTTCTTGAGTGCTTACCTGAATGAAATTCTGTTCTGCTTTATATATAATTGAGAAAAATATTTTAAGAAACACAGCAGAGCCCATTTGAAATAATACCAAAGTGTATAAGTGCAATAACACAGTGAAGCTGTTGGAGAAAAGCAAACCTCTCAAATTCTGAGGGTCTCAAAAGGTGCAATACAAAGATAGAAATGGAGCCATTAAAAAGAATGAAGAATGAATCCTCTCACACAATGTAAATTGGCCAATATGCAGGACCTCAGTTCTGTGGAAATGTGTGATCCCTGCAGACTGATAGTTTACATCCATGTCTTGCTATGTTGAAGACAATCATGGAGGGTAAGAATCATGGAGGTACAGAAAAAATATGCATGTTTTTCTTCCCATTCATTGCCTTAGAATAGGAATAGCAATATCACTGAAGGGCACTTCCTTTGGATTAATGACCAGTTGGGGTTAATATGTCTGGGACATCAACCCTTCCAGCAGGTTATTATCCTATATGTTCTTCATCGTTACTTAAATAGATTTGTTAATAATGTGTTTCACACTTACCAAACCAAAATATTTGATAAAACAACAGAACAGTTGGACTGGACCCCCAGCATACTTTGGAGGTGGGGCATTCGTCATTTGTGCAATTTAATACACGACTGCTACTGTAAATGAGTAGTTTACTGTATGTTGGCTGACGTCAATCTTTTACAGAGAACTTTCAGTTTAACAGTTCAGTCCTTCTCTTTAGTGAAAGTCAGAAATGTGGTTTTAAAGAGATCTTCAGAGAAAATAACTAGGTATGGTAAATATTCCACACAATTTCTTGCCTTACATTCAAAATATATTGACTAATGTGTTCTTAATTTTTTAATTGTTGAAAAGTGAGCACATGTTTACTTTTAAGGCTAACTGACTTCAGTGTCATGATGAGAAACTAATATTATTTTGGTAACTCATCTCCAAATGGCTTGTTAAATAAGTCGTTGCAATTGTATTTAAGTCATAATCAGAGATTACTAGTTAACTTAATTCTGACATAATTGATTCTGATATGATTAAAAGCAAATTACTTATGCTTGCCAAGAAAGTTGTAAAACACCAGAAAGTTTTATCTATATTTCTTCAATTTGTTAATATCCAGCACACAAACAAAATCTGGCTGTAGTGTAATTTAAATAAATTCAGTTACAAGTTTTTTTTAATATTAAAACAAAAGTATAGCAGTCAAATACCTTTTCTGAGCTTGGCAGAGCAGCAAGGGAAAAAGATGTGATCAGTAATGTATAATGGCAAGCTATCACAAGTGTTGAATTCAATTATATTTTAGCACTTAAACAAAAAAAGAACCTTTTCTTATTAGATTTCAGGGGGTTTTGTAACAGGAAATACTTTTAACGTAAATCATGCTTTCTGGTTACAGCTAGTATAGCGGAGGTACAATAAAACTTTCCTCCAGTGGTGGGAATTATTTTCAGACAGTCTTTTAGATGCAGTAGTGCAGAGGCTTGAGTCTGAATTTTTTTATTTGTAGCACAGCTGTCAAATAAAACATTAACTAGAAAATGTGTTCTGTCAAAAAAGGGATATCCTAGTGCATATGGTAATATTTGATATTGCTGTGTGGAGAGGAGGATTGGTATTAAAGGAAATAAAAAAAAAAGTTGATCTCTTATGAGATTCAGTAAGTAATTTAACCAAGATAAAAAGAAGCAACGAATTTCTGTTTTGATGGTTGGGTTGTATTGAGTGAAGCTTAACCCCCTGACAATAACATAGTAAAACTAGTAGGGCAGCACAAACGTATAAGCAGATGTCAAACAAGTCTTGAAGAATGTTTGTTTTGTATAACAGAAACTAAAAATATAGAATATCTTGGGGGAAAAAATCTCTTAAACTCATAGCTCTTTAAGAATAAACTTACTGTTTCAAAAATATAAATCACCCCAAATAGTTACTAAGGGGATACAACTGGAAAAGAGATGGTATAATTTAATCACAACAAAATTTAAAACAAATAATTGATAAATAAATAGAAGGTTCAGGAAAAACTGTCTATTCTATGAGATTAAATATATTGCCTGAGATAAAGTTGTATGCTCTGAAAGTTTTTCACTGTTGCCTTCCAAGCTCTGCAGATCAATAGCTTTGCTGACTAAAATGGTTGACCATCCAGCAATTTGGCTGAGACAAATACATGACCTGGGAACCTAAGTGAAAAACCCTCAGCACAGGGGTAACTTCTGATGTCGCAGCACATTTAGAGCCAAAAGACAGTTTTAAATGGTATAATAAAACATAATATGGACTGGAGTCACCAAGTTATAGGAAAATTTTTGCTGCTCGGGTAAAACGTATAACCTCCTGTGAGCCTGCAACAGGATTATGTCCCACTATCACGTTCAGTCACTTTTCAACCTCATGAAGAAATAATTTTTCATTATAAACATCAATTCCCCATTCATATATCCATTGTATAACTTTACCTCCTTGATGGAATCATACAGGTTAGAGATAGAAAGATGTATTAGATCAGAGTTTTTCCTTCTTAAAACAAGATTGTTTCCTATAGAAAGGACACTTTATAGTGCTTTGTCCATTCTACAGTAGTTTTAAAAGTCTTAAGTTGACAAGGTTTCCTCCCACCACAGTCCATGGGAGATTTTTCCAGCCAAATACATCTTGCTGGCAATTTTTCGATAGCTTAAATTTTCCTTTTCTTAATTTCATCCCATTACACCACCCCATATACCACACTATATATATATATCCTGAGGTGTTTTTTTATATATATATCCCTCCCTTCCAGGTGTTTGCACCCTTCTGATTCTTATGTTAGGTTTTCTCCACTGTAGTTATTGCTTCATACCTTTAATCTTTTATTATAAATCTGTCCTTCCAGCCCTTTATCTGAACTCTCTCTCCCTAGTGTGTCATTATTTTTGTTTTAATTTTTTTGTGCAAAACTGAATGCAATAATTCAGGTGCAGTCACAGCAGAAACAGTATAGGTAAGAACTATGACCTGTTATCTTCCACCTTTAATCTTTTATTTATGCAGCCCCAAACTGTACTGTTCTCTCTCTTTCTTTCTTCCTTCTCTTCCCCCCTCTCCCCTCCCCCACACTTTATCATGGTACAAAGTCATGTCTCCCCCCACTATCATCCCTCGGTCAATTCAGTGTTGCAGCTTCCCACATTTCTCCTTATATTGATATAATATGTTTCAGGATAGTTTTGTTTTTTAACTCCTCCCAATTTATCATCATTTGTAAGTTTCATTAATATCCAGTTTCTGCTTGCTCATTAGTCTTTCTACTTTATCATTGATGAGGGTGTTAAATATATCCCATCTCTCTATGGTCTGCTATTAACAAGTTCCAGCAAGATGGATTCTGGTGCCTATGCCCTCACTTTAAAGAGCTTTTTCTCTTACCCAATCTCCCTCCCTCTATGTGGGGGTCTTCAGAGGGCAGTTGTAGTTGGCCTTATAAGTATTCGCTCACACATGCAAACCCAACCCGCATGAATGTACACATACACACGCTTATGCAAATGTGGCCCTGCTAAGTTAAGGTTAAAAAGTAATAAGCATATTCATATTTTTAAAGATCCATGAATTGCACATTTTTCACTGTCTAAGTAAAGTTGATTTTATCTAGGTTTTCCTTTCATGTTCGTTTTTATGTAACTATTGATGGCTTGAATACTTACACAACAGACAGAAACTTTGCTTGTCAGGTATGTCTTTTGAGCTTTTTTGGGCATTGCAAGTGTTCTCAAAGGTAAGAAAGCTGGTAGAAATGGTTGGCTAGTATATTAAATGTGATGGAGAAACTAAAGCAGAAGTTTAATTTTATAGAGATTTTCTGAATTGTATGCATTTTTTGTAATTAAATAAATGCTCAAAGAGCTGGTTGTTTCATTTTCCATGTCACATTCACCTATGTCCTAACTGTTCTGGAGCCTCTATGCACTGTCATCAGATTTACATTTTTAACTGCTACTTTCACCAGTAAACTGCATTAAAATAAATTCCGTCATTGCAAATTTATGTCATTATGTTTCTTTATTCTATATATTTAAACTCATGACTTCAACATGAGTTTAAATATATAGAATAATGAAACATACTGGCTTGGCAGGATTTAGAGTAAGATACAAATCTGTAATCGATTCTTATTCACTCTATGCCCCTATACAGACTGCTGCGTTCTTAAATAGTTTCCATCCCATCTGGATATAAAAAATTGACACATGAATTTGTCTTTCATAACCAACAGCAAATGAAGTTTTTATCTAGACTTTCTTTTATAAACATTGCTCATGAAAGTACCACTAAAACATTTTGTAATATGTTTAATAAAGGCTACGAAAAATCATTAACAGGATGTTTTAAACTTAGATTTTATATGTTTCAGGTAAACTAATACAAGTAGTGTTTGGGCACTGGGATGTTGTCACCTGTCTTGCCCGCTCTGAATCGTACATTGGAGGAAATTGTTACATTCTCTCAGGATCACGTGATGCAACACTGCTGCTCTGGTACTGGAATGGCAAAACCAATAGCATTGGTGATAACTCAAGTGGTAAGTAAAACCTATATTATGAGTAAACTGCATGTGGCATGAGATAAGTCATTACAGAAGTACTCAGTGCTTTTACGTAAAACTAAAATCAAAGTACAACATTTTTAATATTTATGTGAAGTTTAAATAGCGCTTGCTTTGACCACATAAATATGTTATAGAGCCACAGTACTGACTCCTTACAATAAGCTTGTGAGATACTTAACATTACAAGTACAATTTTGCCTCTCACCCTTTTGACTTGATATTTTGCAGGCTTTACTGTTAGATCTGCAGAGAATTTTTTTTTTTAAACAGATCAACTGAACATGCAGTTTTGGAAGGTGTCGGTTTTTTTAAATAAACACTTTAACATTACCCATTCAGTGAAGATTGTTCTTTATAAGATCTTGTATAATAAATTCAAAAATATGCATACATGTGTAGATTCAGACACCCTTACTCCCATTGAGTAGTATCTTACCTTCCAATCAAAATACTCCTGGAGTTAGCTAAGGGCTTGTCTATACTTACACGCTGGTTCGGTGGCAGGCAATCGAACCCAGAAGTGCTCCCCGTCGACTCCAGTAATCCTGCTCGGCGCGAGGAGTATGCGGAGTCGACGGAGGAGCCTGCCTGCCGCATCTGGACCTCGGTAAGTTCGAACTAAGGTACGTTGACTTCAGCTACGTTATTCACGTAGCTGAAGTTGCATACCTTAGTTCGAATTGGGGGATTAGTGTAGACCAGGCCATAGTCAGTGGGAGTAAAGGTGTCAGAATCTGACACACAATCACTTGTGCAAAATAATAATATAATGATAATTACTTGGGGTCCTCAAAAGATAATAGGCTTAAGACACTTAGGTATTTTTTTGTTTTGTTTTTGTTTGTTTGGTTGGTTTTTTTAAGTATTAGGCGCTAAAAAAACTTTTTTCTATCTAGTATAATTTATACTTGTTCACATGGAAACAATACACAATTGGTTCTAAACCATCAATTTGAAGTATAATTAAATAAGAATCACATGTCATTTTTTCAGTTATTTGCAAGATTTGTGGTTCAACTTACTCTTTTTTTTTTCCTAAGACTGGTTGGTTTTGGAATTATTTACTCTCAGTATTTGACTTTCTGAGAGCTCAATGATGTACACCTCTACTCCTATACAACGCTGTCCTCGGGAGCCAAAAAATCTTACTGCGTTATAGGTGAAACTGCGTTATATCGAACTTGCTTTGATTTGCCAGAGCACGCAACCTCGCCCCCCCCCGGAGCACTGCTTTACCGCGTTCTATCCGAATTGGTGTTATATCGGGTCGTGTTATATCGGGGTAGAGGTGTATCTGAGTGTTCGTAAGTCCACAAACTGCTTAGATTGTCGCCTAAGTAGATTACAAAATCTGCAGGCATAGCATGAATAGGCTACCAACGTATTTTCAGGAGGCTGATTCAAGGAACAGAAAAGCTTCATGGATGCACCCAGCATAGTTTTATAAGTTCCTTAAAATAAATAGCTTTGGTTGAAGGAGAACAGAATCTTTGTGGGCACAATATGCATAGATTGCAATCTGATGGTCAGGGAAATGGCAAACGCTGCCTATTCTTGCAGCGCTTATAAATTTAGGAAGCCCCAAGTAGTCTTGTTCAAGGCACTTAAGTTTTACAGGCCCATCTGGTACAGCTTTAAATTCTAGGAAGCAAAGCAGTCCTGTTCAGAAACAGGACCGACACCAGGCAACCAAGCACGTGCTTGGGGCGGCACCTGGTAAAGGGCGGCCAATCTTGGGGTGGCGGGGTGCAGCTCGGCGCGGGGAGGGGTTCTGGCGGCGCAGCGCTTGGCAGAGGGTGTTTGGCAGCGCGGCACTCCGCGGGGAGGGGTTCCGCAGCGCTCGCTGGGGGGTGTTTGGCGGCGCGGTGCTCCACCAGGGGTGTTTGGTGGTGCTCGAGCAGGGGGGCTTCAGCAGTGCAGCGCTCCGCGGGGGGGCGGAGGTGTTCGGTGGCGCGGCACTTGGTGGGTGTTTCGGCGGCGCGGCGCTCCACAGGTTGCGGGGGTGTTCG